CCTCTCTCCCCTTTCCTTCCTTCTCTTTCTTCCCTCCTCCTAGCCATTCGGTATTGTTAATCACTCCCCATCTTGTAGAATGGGGGCTGACCCTGGAGAGGAGGGATGAGCTGTGTCCAGGGCTGGTGCTAAGGGCCCCTAGGAAACAGAGTGTAACCCAGCAGTCCTAGAATGTGCCGCAAAGTCTGAGAGGTCTAGCGGTCAGGTCAAAGCTGGAGTCACGACGTCTCAAGAATCAAACAGAAAAGTGAGTGTGTGGGGGTTTCACCAAATCTGGGACATTATAGATTCTAGACTGAGGAGGGCACTTGGTCGTGTCCCCCCCCCCCCACCTTCTGAGATACTTTACCTGAAATGTAAATGAAAAGAGACCTTCAACTCTGCTCAGAAAAAAAGGGAAGGTAAACTGGTGGAGCAACAAACACGCACCAGCTCCGCTACCCTGCGGAGCAGGCTCCCAGCAGCCCCAGGGGAGAGGCTGTAAACCCAAGTAAACAAGCTCGGGAGAGAAAGGAGCAAAACTCCAGGCCGGATTCCTGGAACTGTGTCAGATGTGAGGGTGCCTGGAGGCCTTCTTCCTGCCCTGCTGCTGCTGCTGGGCGGGGGCTTTCCAACGGAGGAGGCCCCAGGTGCGGGGATGCGGCTGAGCAGAAAAACCTAACGAGATGCAGCCAAGGAGGAGGCAAAATACAGCCCTGGAAAGGCGCCAGACCCCACGGACGAGGGGGCTGAGCGAGAGTTACACACCTTTCTTGTGAAAAGACACCACCGCCCAGAACACAGGGGCCACGTCTGCCTATGATGGGCAGAAGGTGGTGGTGGAGGCTGAGTGGGCTGTTTCCCATGGCGACAGATGGAAGCCAGTCCAGGCCCTTGCACAATGCCAAGCTCCGACAACCTGGGGAGTACTCCTGAGATCCTGCTGGGGGACCAAAACAGTCACTGAACAGCTTACGTGACAGGCCCAGGCAAGGAGGACAGACAGCACAGCTCTGGGCCATAAAGCCCAGTGGGTGTGCCTTGGGCCACTTGCTTCCTAACTTGTTGCAAAAGTCCTCCAAAGGTCAGATAAATTAGATGCTGAAACCTGCCATCATTGGTACAGGATGTTCCCTTCTCTGCCTCACTTCAGAGACTTAACTCCTTAACCCAACACCAACCCTCGTGTGCTACTGATCCCAGTGGCCCCCAAACCTCCACTCAGCACAGGTAAACGAAGCCAGTCAGCTGCTGTCCACTTTAGACATGAACATTGAGTTCCCGTGGGCATCATTAAATCAGACACCTCAACAATTTAGTAGCGTTTGTTTATTTGCTTTTTCGTAGTATTGGACTGAGAGGCTACGTTTTTGCTTTATTTATTTATTTATTTATTTATTTATTTATTTATTTATTGGCTTTTTGAGACAGGGTTTCTCTTTGTAGCTTTGGAGCCTGTCCTAGCACTAGCTCTGTAGGTGAGGCCTGCCTCTGCCTCCAAAGTGCTGGTATTAATGGCGTGTGCCACCACTGCCCGGTCTCACAGAAAGATCTCCCAGGCAGCCAGCAACTCACCTCAGGTGTTCATTTCATAAACACATAAAAACATTCATGGCTGTTATGTGTCCTGTTGAAAAACGAGGACGAGGCGGGGTCCTGTGTGAAGAGGATAGGGCCCTGCCTTTGGTATCACCATCAGACTGCTGGCCTCCAAGAAGTATGCTCTTCAGTGTCATGTCTGTATTTTTTATTTTTAGACAGAGTGTTTCTGTAGCTTTGGAGCCTGTCCTGGAACTAGCTCTTGTAGACCAGGCTGGTCTCGAACTCACAGAGCTCCACCTGTCTCTGCCTCCCAGAATGCTGGGATTAAAGGCGTGCGCCACCACCACCCTGTTATGTCTGTATGTTTTACACCTTGCAGAGACATGACACTTAGTAGGAGCTCAGTAGGAACATAGTGAATGGCTAGCCTTATGATAGCTATTTGGGAAATCAAGGAGGAAGTAGTTAGCTTTGCTTAGGAATCCAGAGAAGAGGAAACAGGTCTTTGGAATGTAGGAATCAAGGGCAGAGTGGAGAGGAGCTGGGGTAAGACAAGGCTTGCAGGCAGGCAGGCCAAGAAAACTGGAGCCTGGTTGTTGTGGGTGGTGGTGCAGGCCTTTAATTTCAGCACTCAGTGACAGGCAGGTGGATTTCTGTGAGTTTGAGGCCAGCCTGGTCTTCAGAGCGAGTTCCAGGACAGCCAGGGCTATGCAGAGAAACTCCATCTCTAGAAACAAAACAAATAATTAAAACAAAACCAACCAAACAAACACCAAAGAGGAAGAAGCCTGGGAAAGGAGAGATCTTATGGTGTAGTGGATATAGATCTGTAGCGCTCTCTCCCTTCCTTTGATCCTTTGGTGCTAATCCATACACTTTCCCTTTCCTAACAGGAAATGTGAATTTTCCAGGTCTGACAGTTAAACAATGCTCACCTTGTCGGCTGAGCTCCTGAGCTGTTGGTTCTGTACCTATGAATGGCCTCACGCTGGGTGTTTTACCTCATAGGTCCTAAGCTAGCTCTCCCTTACTGCTTAACGATATCCTCACAAGTTAATATATTTAGTACATCCTAATTTGTCAAAGAAATCTGGGCTGGGATGGTCTGAGGAGAAGGCTCAGTAGTTAAAAGTACGTTTTTGCTCTTGCAGAGGACCCAGGTTCAACTCCCAGAACCCACACAATGGCTCATAAACATCTGTAACTCTAATTCCGGCGGCGGGGGGGGGGGTCCAGTGCCCTCTTGTGACTTCCACAGGTACCAGGCATGCACACGGTACATGTATGTACACAAACGCAAAACATCCACGGACATACAATACATACATACATACATACATACATACATACATACATACATACATACATACATAAAAGAGGATGAGAAGGAAAGAAAAAAAATCCGGGCTTGGTTTTGTGCAAGCCAAGGTTGAAGTCCTCTATCTAAAGCTCCACTGGGGAAAGCGAAGTTTTAAGTTCAGGGAAGCACAGACAGAACTCGGTACAATCTTTTAGGCTTCTCTTTACCTAATTCCCCCGCCCACCTCCCTTTTGGTTCCTTTGAGATGGGGTCTTTCTACATTGCTCTGGCTGTCTGTCCTGGAACTCATGTGTAGATCAGCCTGGCTTCAGTCTCACAGAGATCCACCTGACTCCGCCTCCCTGACTCTGCCTACAGAAGCCTGAAGAGACCAAAAGGATTAGAGTTGGGGTCCTCACAGGTCCTCATTAGGTATTAGATGACGGGGAACTGAAATATTCCTTCCTGCAGTTGAAAGAATCCCCATTACACGTTAATCCCAGCACTCGGGGTGGGGGGGGGGAAGGCAGGTGGATCTCTGCGAGTTCGAGGCCAGCCTGGTCTACAAGTTCCAGGACTGACTCGATAGCTGCTGGGAAACCCTGTCTCGAAAAACCAAAAAGAAAAAAGAAAGAAAGAAATGGCATCTTATGACTGAAGGGATTTGGAATGGATTTCCATTAACAACTATTTGAATCTCATAAATTTTTGATTTGATAGTTGTAATTAAAATAAAAACTCATAAAGGAAATTAACGGCTGCAGAGTGGGAACCAGGCAGGACAGCACCGTTATGAACGTACTTCCGTTTTCAGAATCCTTCCTCCTGATTTGCGCATGAGCGATGGATATTAAGCCCTGCTGTCTTCGTGAGTACACACGTTCACAAGCTTGGGATCGGAGAATGGGTGCTGCAGCCAGGCTGCCTGGGCCACGTCAAGTTTAGCTCCTTTTTAAAAAAGTTATGGCCGGGCAGTGGTGGTACATGTCTTTAATCTCAACACTCCACTCTGGAGGCAGAAGCAGGTGGATCTCTGTGAGTTCGAGACCATCCTGGTCTACAAGAGCTCATTCCAGGACAGGTTCCAAAACTACATGAAGAAACCGTGTCTCGAAAAAAAAAGTTTTTTATATGTTTATAGTTTATTCAGTTATATGTGTGTGCTTTAAAAACATTTATGAGCCAGACTGTTGACCACACCCCTTTAATCACAATACTAAGGAAGCAGATCTCTGAGTTCAAGACCAGTGTGCTCTACAGGCTGAGTTCCAGGACTGCCAGGGCCAAACACAGAAACCCTGCCTTTAAAAAGGTATTAATTTCTTTAGTTTATCCAGTGTATGTTGTGCTTTAAAAACATTTATGAAAGCATTTGAGAGGCAGAGGCAGGCAGATCTCTGAGTTTGAGGCCAGCCTGGTCTACAAAGATAGTTTCAGGACAGCCAGAAGAAACCCTGTCTCAGGGGGAAAAAATTTATGAGTCGGGTGGTTGGTCCCAACACTAGGGTGGCAGAGGCAGGTGGATCTGTGTGAGTTGTTTAAGGTCAGCATGGTCTACATACAGATTGAGTTACGAGTTCCAGGAGAGCCACTTAGAGAAAGCCACTCTTGCAAAACAAACAAACAAACAAAAACAAAACAAAAAAGAAAAATCAAATAAAACAACAACAAACAACATTCTTTATATATTGAGTGTGTGTGCATGCTTACCACAGTGGTAGTCAGAAGACAGCTCTCAGGACGTGGGGTCAGGCACTATGACTTCAGGTGGTTAGGCCTGTCCAGCCAAGTTGCCTAACATCTCATGACTCAGTATTCTCATCTCTCACATGGAGATGAGACTGGCCCTGTTTGGGCCTGGTATAAGAGGATTCTAATCTCAGCTACCCCTCAGGCTGAGGTTAGAGAATTCAAGAGCTGCCTGGGCTACAGGAGACCCTAGCACAAACCCCAAACCAACGAACGACAAAATCTTCATGGAGGTAAATGGTGGATGGAACAGAACTAAGGACAAAGGACAGCAAACAGGATGCCAGTGATACAGGTGCTTCATCTCACGGATAATCTGAGATGCTCGTTTCCTTATCAGAATTCAGCGTATGTCGTCCCTTGTCCCTCTCTTCCAACCAAGGCAGTCAGTCTCTAGGCAGAACAGAAGAAACCACTTAAGTGTGGGGCGCTGAAGGAAGCAAGGAGCTAGATGCCATAAGGTAGAGGAAACTGGGTTGAGTCTTGCTTAGGTGTGTCTAAGAAGGCCTTACTTGTCCAGTTCCTACAAGGTCAGGGCAGTGGTGGGGCCTGACATAGGGCAGCTGACTTCTCATTTCCAGTTCCCTTCAGGGCCAGGGCTGGCCTTAGCCAGGGACCGCCCTCATTTCCACAAAAGAAAGGCTGTGGGAGTTAGCCTGTGGGAGTTAGCCTGTGGGCAGAAGGGAATCCAGCTGTGTGGGAACAAGACTTTCCCACACCAGGATGGGTGGGTGAGAGTATTTAGCCTCTGGCAGCAAATAGAAGGATCCAGAAGGGAGGGGACCCTAGAAACAGACACTCCAAAGAACTGAGAAAGATGGAACTTGGACCAAGTGATCTTTCATAATAGCCTGGTGGCTGTTTGGTGTTTTGTTGTTTTTTAAAATTTTACTTGTTTCTATTTCGTGGGCATCGATGTTTTCCTTGAATGTATGTCTGAGTGAGGGCATCAGATCTTCTGGAACTGGAGTTACAGAAAGTTGTAAGATGCCATGGGGGTGCTGGGAATTGTACCTGGGTCCTCTGGAAGAGCAGCCAATGCTCTGAGTCATCTCTCCAGCCCTTGTGGGTTTTTGTTTGCTTGCTTTTTATTTGTTTTTGAGACAGGGTCACTCTGAGTAAGTATCTCTGGCTGTCCTGGGTCAGCTCTATAGACCAAGTCTGGCCTTGAACCTACAGAGATCCTCCAGCCTCTGCGGAGTGCTAGGAATAAGGCCACCACGCCCGCTCATTACTGTTTCGACAGAGTGAGGGTGGTAGAGAGACCAGCCAGGACCGCGGGGCTCATCCCTCCCACCCTGTACAGCAGCACAGCTTCAAACTTCTTTGTATCTGGGTGTCCTGGCCCCGAAGACAAGCCTCCTGCAGGCTGTTGGAAGGGCGTACGCCCAGAACTGCTCCTCTCACCCACTCCTTCAGGGCTCTCTTCTATGCAGACACCTTCCTCACACTGGTCTCCAGCCTGGAGGCTGTCCTGTGAACCTCCCTAGGAAACAAAAAGCGCGTAAAAAAAAAAAAATCCACCAACATAGCTAGGGTAATAACAAGGACGGTTTAGGTCACAGGGCACACACACTGAATTAACCTTAGTGTGGGCAGGGTCGGGCCACGGAATCAAATTCCCACGGAGTACTACAGTAGGGACCCAAGGACCTTATGCCTGCCCAAGGTAATGACCCGAGTCTGCTTTTGCTGTCCACTGCCTTCCTCCCCATCGCTCCATGTCAGCTCTCTTCTTCCTGACATCCCGAGGGTCTCGGAGATCACGAGATGTTGCATCCAGCCTGAGTGTGCCATTCAGTTTTCCACTCACGAGCTGCGCCCACGCCGCAGACACACCACGGTCTCCCCCGCCGTGCCCTGTAAGCACGCGGATTCCTTCACCGGTCGCTGGGCATAACCTCCTTGCGGGCTGTCAAACGCTGCCCTTCCCATCCCGGACGCAGGGGCACCCCCAACCTCTGTGAGCCCTTGCCACCTCCCCGAGGGACTTTATCGCGACCAGCGACGTCGCGCAATTCTGAGGCGCGCGGGTCACGGTGACCGCCAACTTTGTGTTCAATCATGAGGCTGAGGCCACAAGCTCTGTGGAGACAGGGACTGGGTTGGGGTACAAAGCTATGCATCCGCTCGGCTCTTGGAGAGTGGACCTGGGGGTTCGGAGCTGGAGCTCGGAGGCGGCTCCTCCACGCTCCAGTTGGGCCCTGGAAAAATCCCGGCGCGCGGGCAGGCCAGGGACAGCGGGAACAAAGGCGGCCGGGGACGGATGCAGTCATGGAAAAACCCATCCGGGCGCCGGCGTGGGGGCGGCGCGCCTGGCAGCCGCAGCATCTAGCCGGCCGTTCGGGCGGGGCCGCTCCCTGCCAGAACCACCACGAGCTAGGGGAGGTCCCGGGAGCGGGAAAAATGCGGGACTGGTCACCACGCTCCGGGTGCCCGTAAGCACCACCGCGGGCTCGCGATCGTGCGCCCGGCTGGTACCTGCGGAGTGTTGCACATGGCCCCTTGGCTGGCGGGCGAAAGTGCGGCAGCGGGTCGCAGCGGCCACGTGGGGTGGGGGCGCACGGACCCCACAGTGGCGCGACGAGCCCGCACACGCTCCAGTGTGCACATGATCACCTACACGCACGTGCGCCCAGACACGCGAGCTGCCTACAACTCCCAGGGCAGAAGGAAGGAAACGGTTGGACAGAAAGGGGAGGAAATGAAATAGAGGCTTGTTAGGGCGGGCCCCCACGGCTAGACACTGGAACCTCAGAGAAGCGAGAGGCGGGGGTTGGGAAGACTTTGAAGAAGCCACTTTTAGGCCTGCCCCCCATTTTACAGGTGCTGGCTCCGGGCCTCCTACGGCCGGACGTGCCTAGTTCCCGCCTCCGGGCTAGAGTTTCCCTCTCGTGCCGGCTGCTGCTCAGCCTAGTCTAGTCTCGTAAATTTGGCTGCAGATCTGGAGAGGCGGCACCCTGAACGTTTTTTTTTTTTTTTTTCAAATTTTCTTTTTCCCCGGAGAAAAGGAAAGTGTTGGTGCAAGATGCACCCACTGACTCCCAAACCTTTTCTAGTTTGATTTTTTTTCCCCCTTAAATGAAGGAGGAACTGAGCTCGGTTGTGGGAAGTAGCACAGACTCATATCGGTCCGTCCCCTTGTTTATTTGCGCTGCTGCCTGTTACGGCGTGGGGGGCTCTTAGGACGGTGAGGGAAGAAAAGGTCGCAGAACACGGCTACTACGGTAGCCTAGAGCAGAGAAGCCCAGGCTCTCCCTGTGTGAAGCGGCTGATGCGGGTAGTGGGTAGAGAAAGGGGTGGTTCCTGGGAGGCAGAGGATAAAGAAGCAGAAACCCAGGGCTTCAAAACATTTAATTAAAAAAACAACGGGGGGAGGGGGGGCGCGAGAAGGGCAGAGGCAGGTGGATCTCTGTGAGTTCGAGGACAGCCTGTTTTATACAGTAAGTTCCAGGACAGCCAGGGCTGTTACAAAGAGAAACATTTGTCTCAAACCAAACCAACAAAACAAAAACTGAGGTAGTGAGGTAGTGGCAGAAATCTGTCATCCCAGACCTCGGGATGCGGGGAGATCAAGGAATTCAAAGCCAACCTCCCCTACAAAGATTGAGCCAAACTTAAGGTTGTAAGAGACCCTGTCTCAAAAACCCCAGCAAACCCAACCCCCTTCACACTAATCAAATAACAAAGAAAAGGCAGTTGTTCTTAAGTCTGGCTGGAGAGTACAGCGGGAAGACTGTTCTTCGGGTCGTGGTTCAATACCGCAGAAGTAGGCAGGTGCCTACCAGACCCCACCGGATCCAGCGAGTTGGTATTTACTTGTGCTCTTTGAAACTGACCTTGGAATCAGATGACTTAGCGTTGCCCCTCTCAAGCTTTCTGGTGTCACCTAGTATTGTCCAGCCTCAAATTACTCATCAGTAAAATGGGTCCAAGGTTTATGGTACTGAAAGTGGTTGTCAGTCTCCCTTCGGTCCTGCTTTACCTCTCACAGTGGGGAAGTCACCAATTCTTACTTCCACAGCTCCTCCTTGGCTACTTCTCAAAATCCCAGGGGCATCCTCCTAAATTCCGATTTCTTGTGAGCAGCATGGGAGGGTGTGTGTTTGGCGAGGGATTGTGGTGTGGCCAATGGCAGGCAAGGCTGGGGGAGTAGCGCCCCCTGCTGGACAGTTACAGTAGTGCCTATATGGTCCCCGAAGGCAGGCCAAGGCTAACCTGCTCAGCGTCGGAGGCACCGTTGGCCTTTGTCCCTGGTTGTTTTCCTCTCAAGCGGACCGAAAGAAGTCTGGTTCCCCACAGCAGCATCTCCTCAGCCATCCAGTTCCTCAGCTTGTTCCAACTTCAACAGGCCCCCTTTGCCGTGGAGGAATGAGCTAACTTGCTATTTATAAGAGACTTTACAGTTTACAAAGGTTGCTGCTTCTGGGCGGGACCTCCTTAGGAAGGGATCATTTTGCCTTGCTCAGGGGTGGTTTGGATTTTACCGCCTCCATCTAGCTGTGTATCCAAGGCAACGTTCAAAACATTGAATAACCAGTAGGATAGGCATCAGCCAATCAGAACAGAGTTTGCCATAGTAGACAGAGACGCCCAAATCTCTGTGTACCTGCTCAAAGTTCTGGACCAGCGTCAGCCTTATTGATTCTGGCTTCTCTGCCTAGTATATGGGGATTTAGATGGTAACAGTATCACTTTCTAAGGCTTTTGAAGCCTAAATTAGTTAGGCATGTAATGGCTTGCCGAAGTGTCTGGCGAATCTAAAACACTCAGTAGTAGGGTTTAGCCTAAAAGATTCTCCTTTCTGTGTGTGGTGAGTCACCTAGGAGTCACACTCAGGGTGATTGCCACTCTTAAGGGAGAGTTGCCAGCTGATTCTACTGTGTGTGCCCAAGGCCCACCCCTTGCTTCCCCACCCCTGCTCCGGGCAGGGCAACATCTCCATGTTGCTCCCAACGCCTCTGTGGTTGAGCCCTTCTTCATGGTTCTGCTCCTGGCCCTTCTCCTGCCTTGCTGTCCCTGAACCCCTTCACTAGCTATCCACTTCCCACAGCCCATCTCCCCCAGATCCATTTCCTAGCGCAGAGGTCCCAGAGCTATCTAGATTCTTGTATCCCTTGGTTCTAAAAACAGCTGCCCTCCTCTGCTTGCCTGGATACAATAGTTTCCCATCTGCCTGCGGCTTCTGGCCATCTGCCCATTCCCAGCACTGCTGCAGTGTTCCAACATCACAGCATGCAGGACCGTCAGCCTTGCAGGGAAGCCTTCGGCGCCCCCTGTAACAGCCCTCCTCTAAGTGAGTGCTAGCTCATTCATTCCCAAGATCCTCTGGTACCTCTGTCATTATCCCCACTTTGAGGAGGATGCAACAGGGAAGCTTCAAGAGCTAAATAACTTGATCAGAGTCAGTGTCCTGGTTCGGCTGTCGGGACAGTCCCTGGGAGAGCCTTCCCTGGTGTTTCTGGGAATCTTTACCTGCTATTTTCACTGGCTCCAAGGACTCTGCCTCAGCCGTTTGGTCTTCCACCTTTCTACCTGCCTCTTCCTCCTTCCCTCCTCCTTCCCAGCCTTGTTTTAGCTTGGGACATTTCTTCTATTTCCAGTAAAAACCTTCCTCCAGCCTAGCTCAAGGACTACCTGACTTCCTGCCCTGTTCCTACGCCCTGTGGCATAGTGGTTGTTTTCTCTCAAATTCTTGTTCTATTTTCCCCTCTAGACCTACAGCTGCTGCTTTGAGACAGAGCCCCACTATGTAGTCCTGGCTGGCCGGGAACTCACCTTGTTGAACAGACTGACCTTGAACTCGCAGAGATCCGTCTGCCTCTGCCTCCTGAGTGCTGGGATTAAAGGCCAATCACCATACCTGAACTTCAACTTCACTCTTGAGCCAGCGTCTTTCTTGCTTCTGTTCCTGTACTTTTGATGTGAGCTTCTCCCTGATACAGGATACTGGGGATACTGTATCCACCTCCTATCTCCCAGTGCTGGAATTACAGATCAGCCACTTTGTCCGGTTTTATTTCCTGGGTTCTGGAGATTGCATTAGGCTGGTAAATTTCACCCTTTGAGTCATCTCCCCACCCCCTTCCCTTTGTATGTGTGTGGGTTTTTTTTTGCCTGCATGTATATGTCTCTGTACCACATGGGTACCTGATACCCACAGAGGGCATCAGATCCCATGGAACAAACTGGAGTTACAGATGGTTGAGAACCATCAAGCGAGTGCTATAAATTGAACCAGGGCCCTCTAGAAAAGCAGCCAGTGCTCTTAGTTGTTGACCCATATCTCCAACTCTTTACTTTTGAGACAGAGTCTCATTATGAAGCTGGTCTGGATGTTGCTCTGTAGACTTGGCTGGCTTTGAACTCACAGAGATCTACCCGCCTCTGCCGCCTCTGGAGTGCGGGGATTAAAGACAAGGTGTGTGTCACTATGCCCAACTCAACCCTGCTTTTCCCTTTTTTCTTCCTAGTGTAGGATCAAATCGAATCCAGATCTGCCTTCTCATGTATGACAGGCAGGTGTTCTACCACAGAGCTATATCTTCGGTTCCGGAAGTGCTTCCGAAACCTTATCAAGCGTGAGAGATTCTTGGGAATTTAGATAATTCTGACCCGGCGATCTGGGTGGAGAATGAGAGTCTGTGTTCCCATCAATCTCCCAATCTCCCCAGAAGTGTTGATGGCTATCATGAAGGCCACACGTTGAGAAACAAGGCTCTGGGCTTGCAGAAGCACAGGTGTCAGCTGATGGATCCAGAAGTGTCCGCTGAACCCAACTCAGCACGAGTGTGCAGAGACTCAACAAGTTCCAGGATAGAGCTCTATAGATGGCTGCTTTAAACTGCAAAGTATCACACAGATTAAAACTAATGGTCAGGCCACACAGCACTCCCCCCCCCCCCCCCCCCCCCCCCCCCCCCCCCCCCCCCCCCCCCCCCCCCCCGAGACAGGGTTTCTCTGTAGCTTTGGAACTGTCCTGTAATTTGTTCTGTAGACCAGGCTGGCCTCAAACTCACAGAGATCTGCCTGTCTCTGCCTCGCAAGTGCTGGGATTAAAGGCGTGTGCCACCACCGCCTGGCACCATACAGCTTTTCTAGAAGTGCTTTTGGATGTGCTCCTCTCCCAAAGGGTATGGGTACATGTGAGATCCAGGCTCTCTGCCTCAGCCAGTGCTATACTTTATATATAATCATCTCAGGGGCAGAGGATGTGGCTCAGTTGGTAGAGTGTTTGCCTAGCCAGGAAGCCATAGATTCAGTTCCAAGCACTGCATAAATTAGGTCTGATATTTTGTGATCCAGCACTCAGGAGGTGGAGGCAGGAGAATTAAGAAATTGAAAGTCATCCTTGGCTACGCAGTGATTTTGAGGCCAGCCTGAACTATGAGAAACCCTGTCTCAGAACAAAACACCCCTGCTGTCTCATGTTTGCCCTGTGGGGAGCTATCACACGACTCTTGACTGCCCTCTGAATCTGCTGCATAGTCCCCGCCTCTTTTAGAATTAAAACTGTGTTCCCCCAGGCTTTGCAACATCTGTACCTGCCTAGTCCTCACCTGTTATTACGTTCATTCATACTTACCTTTTGTAGCCTGGAATCCAGCTCGTTCCTTCCCATCTGAGACTCTGGTCAGTGTCCACCCAGTGCCTAGCCCGTTATGTGAGCTGCCTCCTGCGGAGACACCTTCCTTGGTCTAGAGCAAGCTCGGAGAAGAACATGTTGTCCATTGCCATGATCGAGTATTCTCTGTTTTATCATTCTGAGTTTGTCTGTTTAGATTTATTTATTTACATACGTTATGTATATGGGTACATATACATATATATATGTCTGCATGTGCTCACCAAAGATGGCGTATGATTCCGGGGGACTATAGATGATTGTGAGCCACCGTGTGGGTGCTGGGAATTGAACTCAGGACCTCTGGAAGAGCAGCTGGTGCTCTTAATCAGCTTGGCCATCCCTCCAGCCCCCATCCCCTTTTCTTTTTTCTTTAATAGCACTTCCAGGTTTTCTGTTACTGCCTTATATTTTGGGTTTCTTTTTACCGGCTTCTCTGCTGGAACGAGCTCCTTGGGGCCAGACAGTTTTGTGTTTCACGGTGTTCTACTATTCCCACTGAGAACAGCGAGTGTTCAGCACGTAGCAGGCCCCGCTGAATGAATGGCTGTTACAGGATAAATATTTGAAAAAGCCAGAGGTATCCAGAAGTGTCCCAGGGGCAGGTCAGGCTTCAAGGAGGTCATATCTAAGAAGGGGCAGGGACTAGCCAGTAGCAGCCTCCTCAGGGAGTGTTTTCTGAGGTTGGTCCTCCTGAAAGGCAGGAGGAGGTGGCAGGGCCAGGCAAAGAAGGACGAAGTGGACGGTGGTAGGGTCTCAGGGAAGCCTCAGAAGATGCTTGGGTCCTCCAGCACAAGGGTGGTCTTTTCTCAGAGTCCTGAATTGAGAGTGGACGTTTCTGCACCCACGAACAGCCGTCGCTGGCTACGCTAGGAAGGGAAGTGTGACCCTAGGCAGTACACTTTTCGTAATTACGGTTATCTCCAGTGGGAAGCTGACAGATGAGGCCATCTGTGGCCAGAGGCACTGGGGAGTGGGCCCTTCAGTCTTGCAGGGGCTTCACATAGCACAGGACAGTGTCTAGCATGTGGGACCCACCCAGGATGGGAGTCCGAGTCCCCAGGGGAATGTGCCTGAACGAGATGGAAATGACCCTCACTCCCAACCCTGGGGGACTCGCAGAAGTCCTAAGGGTAGAGTGAGATGAATCGTAATTATGATGATGGCCTCAGGAAACTCTAACCACATGAACGTATAGCCAAGGATGACTTTGCCTTTCTGGTCCTCCTGCTTCCATCTCCCGAGGGATGGAATACTAGCAGATGTCACCACCATGCCCGGGTTTACACAGTGCTGCGGACTGAGCCCACGGCTCCGAGTATACTCTATCAATTGAGCTAAGTCCCCACCCTCTTTTATTTTTGCCAAGTCTATCTTTGTTTGCAGGACTGGGTTCAGATGATGATGCTCTCACCTCAACCTCCTAAAATGGGGCTCTCAAATGGGCACGATCACACCTTACCTAAAAGTTGCTAATTACCTGTTGAACAAGGAACTTTGAATTTTCCCTTTGTACAAATTACACAGTTTGTCCTGTTCTCCAGCTTTTGATACCGACCCAAGGCTGATTGCTGAGGGGTTGTCAAGGAGACACACTTAGGGCATGGGCCCAGGTAGGCCTCGGATTGCGGATTGCATAATGCAGGGATTACAATATCCTTGTTTGTGTGTTAATCGGGGATCGCGGTGCTGGCTCCACCTAGAGGGAAGGAAAGAACCTAAGTTCAACCATCCCAGCTGCGGATGAGACTGTGAAGTCAG